TGGCATGCTTGTGTGTGTGTGTGTGTGTGTGTGTGTGTGTATATGTGTATGTACATGATCTTTTTGTGTCTCCCATGAACAGATTTTGGCCAGATCAGTACCACTGTTTGAATTTCCACTAATAGAGACTCCATGCTAAATAATTGCCTAAAAAGCAAGGCAGTGTATACAGACACACAAAGATAAGCATCTGAGTCAGTGTTAAAGCAAACACAGTTGTCACTATCACTCAACTTAAGGCTCCCTCAGAAGGAACTTAAAAGTGAGGATTTAAAGGAATGGTGAAGACTTCAACTCAAGGTAAAAAATGACCGCACACTGCGCCCAATCAGGAGCTTTCAAAGATCAAAGATACTTGAGTGCTGAGAGGCAAGACAGAGAAGCAAGAGTCCAATTTGACATTATGGACATACTTGCACACATGTACACAGAAAAAACAAAGACTTAAAAAAAATGAAAATACAGACCGATGAAGAGAGGAAAGCAAGTGCCAGGATACTAACAGCAGAATTCAGTGAGACACAATAAACAAGTAAAATAGAGTTATAAAACTCTTAAGCATGATTTATGTAACATACTGTATTAAAAAAATGTATTATCATTACCACATTAATTACAATTAATCCATCTACCATAAACAAATTGGACCACAACTGAAAAGTCTGTTCCTCTCGTCCATGTACCTTGCGCTATTATGTTAAATTTAGCATGACTTTTACTGAATTGTTTTACAGTACAACTGGCGGGGAGCGGCACCGAAAAGGGCACTGGAACCCGAACCGGGCGAGTGAGCAACGGAACCGGTCTTAGAAGACTCTATGGACAAAATGGCAAAAGCGAGGAGACCAAAGACAAAGATGACGGAAGAAGCTAAGTAGAGAAATAGAGACAGTGGCCGAGCAAGAGGCCACCGGAGTAAATCTCTGACTGTAATGTTAGCTGGCTTGCTATGTCGTGTTGCACTTGCTTGATGTCTAGTTTTTGATCAAAAGTGTAATGTAATCATAACAAATGCATGTGTACAGCTGTCCACATTTATGACAGTGGTGTATAAGTGAATTGCACTCTGAAACTGTAGGGGCACTGAATCACAAAAATATAAATTCTTGCAGAATGTTGCTTTAAGCCTATAGTTTGACTTGCCCTACATGAAGTAGTTAGATGAAATCTATTGATTGCTGCAGAGCATGGATCTCATCCGCTTAGAGTAAACTCTATGTTAACAAAATGACTTTAATCTGCAACATCAAAAAGACATGTATGTGAACATATAGATATTAATATCTAAGATTTATACATGGGAGCTAACCATCTGAATAAGGTATCATTATTACCTGGATTTCAATGAAAGTGAATCAATGTCATTTACTATGTTTCTAATGTGCCTGCGTCTATAAATCTCTGACATATATAATCAAATGAAGCAATCTTATACTGTAGTAATCTTAAAACATGCATTTAATTTCAGAAAAAAGGCATACTTCAAACTAAGAGGTTATCATCTGGCAACAGCTATAACACACTTAAATAAACCATTGCATAGGTAAACTAATTTTAATATGAATGCCTTCATAGCGTATTATTGTAGCATCAATTCTATATTTATTTACCACCCCTGATGTGCATTGCCATAATTACTCATACTCAAATTCCACGACAGATTATCATTTAAACAGTAAAAGATTAAGTTTGTATAACTTTTGTGCCATGTCAGAGGTCAAATCAATGCACTATGTGCAGAATTGTAATTTATTTTTTATGAGGGGCAAGGCTTTATTTTATCTGTATAAGAAATGCACATGTTTCCCTTTAAAATCTGTGTGTGTGTGAGAGAGTGTATGTCAGGAACCAAGGCTCAAACATTGAAACTGTTCTGCCGTCAGTTCTCCAGGTCTATTAATGCCATGTTGAAAATGTTTAACCTTGTAAAGTAATGTCCAGATGAAAAAGTGAAAAGTGGAAATATTATATCACTGCCATCATATTTTTATTTAAATTTTTGTACAGCTAAAAGAAAAGTTTTTATAGTTTGAAAAAACCTCACATTTTCTATGTGATCTCTGTGAACAGCAACAATAATTATACTTTCTAATATTTCAGCTGACATTTACATTATCTGAAGCAGTGCATTTAAAAAAAAGTCTAGCTGATGAAGTTAATATTGTTTATCATGTTTACTACTTGGTTCCACATTTGATGTTTTCAAGATGTCAGTGATATCCCAGATGGTAGCGGCACATAAGGTACAGATGTACAGTTTATGTAACCCAAAACATTTAGAGATATTTGAGAGAGAGTGAGAGAGAGAGAGAGAGAGAGAGGCGCTCCAAATAAACACCTGATGAGCTGTAATGACAACTCTAACAGCACCCTGGCGCACCCACTTAAATACAGCACGTATAATTTTTACACACCTTACACAAGTGATCTTTTAAAGGTTATTCACAAAGGTTTTTGGTGCACTTAATACTGCAGCATCACAAGACCATTAGGACACCACATCCTGCCTTACCTCTCTTTGAGGAAGTCCACCACTCTTCTGAAGTCATCAATGCAGTACTCTCTTTTCATGTCCATCAGGACGCTGTCTGAGGCCGATTGCACAGGAACATGGAGGAAGGCATAGACACGTGGATGATTCAATATCTTAGCCATTTCCTAATAAGTAAAAGAGAAGACAGAGAGACAAGAAAAACCTAAATGAAACGGTTAGAGTTCTCATAAGTATGGAGAAGAAAGGCAAGTGAAAATCACATCAGTTTGTCTGCATGTTACAGATTGCTCATCTGTTTGCATAAAATGAGATGGAGAAAAAGCCACTTTCCCGTTGACGGCCAGTGTAACTGTGAATTTAAAAAAAATCAATGTATTACAATCTGACAAATATAAAAAAAAAAAGTCATTTTTGGACCATTCAAGATTTGTTTCATCACGTGGACAAATATCTTTATCAATTTTGTTGTTTTTTGGAGTAAATAGTGGGTTGTCTTTGCTGTAACCTCCAAAACCCTCAGAAAAACCAAGGCACAATACCTTAAGATCAGTTAATGTTCTTTGCCTTTGTTTCACTGCACTCAAATTTAGTTAAGGTACTCTGCCTTTAGCATGTTAAACAGTAATTTCACTTTGATGCGCAACAAAACCAAGGCAGAGTACCTTAACTCAATTTGAGTTGGGTTGACTCTTGGGTTAAGGCTCTGGAGTTAGTGTTATGCCATTATATTACATAGGCATAACACTGTCATTTTTGCTCAGTTCCACACACAAACAAGTTAAGGTCTCGTATTCTGCCTTTGTAGAGCAGTGTATGAGTGTTTAAATATCAATATGAAACCAAGCAAATTAGAAAATCGCTTTGGGAAAGTTGTATTTTAGTGTCGTCACTTAGTATGAAAAAATGATTAATTAACTAGTAGGTCTGTTTCAATTAGTCTTAAAAGAAAAACCTAGGATATGTTAGCCATGGGAGTCGTGAATCTCAGACCAAAATATAAACTTTTTATATGACCATGAGGTTTAGTAACGCAAACATAAAAGAAAGAAGAAGCAAAATCTCACAGTAGGCTCTGGTTAATGGTAGCTGCTGGCTGTGAATGTTCCATCAACATTCCTGCTTGTTTCTGCACTCTTTCCGCTCCAGACCATCTACAATAGACTGCCTCTTTCTCTTATTTTCTATTCTAACATTCAACTTGTCAGTTCTCAGCTCAAC